GCTTCCCTTACTAGGGCCCACTACGGCTGGGGAACTGACACTGGGCTTACCTAAATGGGGAGACCGGGGATGGGAGAGGGCACCGGTGCCACTCCCTTGGGGTACAGATGGGGAAACTGAGTCTAGGGAGGAGAAAGAGGGAGCATAGCCTGGCTCCGACCTTCACCACCTTCCCTCTCTGTGGCCCTGAGTGGCTGTGCCTGATGGTCCCCGTGGGGAGGCAAAGGTGAATCCAGATGCATGCACCCCCTAGAGGCTGCCTCCTGCCAGCCCTAACCCACCATTGTTTCCGAGTTGGGGTGGGTGCTGGAAGACCCCAGGACCCCCTCTTCTCTTGGGCTAGAGCTGAAAAGAGGGAGCCCACATCCTGCCAAGCTTCCAGACACACTCTGCTGAGCCAGGCGGGAACCCAGGGGTTCACCCAACCAAACCCCGAGCATCAACAGCAGAGGAGGGCCTCAGCCCCGGGCCCCCACCTGCAGCTCCCTTATCTTAGGCATCCCCATCCTCTGGCAGGCTCTGCTCCACCTGGGCCCCACTCGCCAGGGACCTGCTTCCTCCCAGTATCTGCCTGCATTCTTCCAGGTGTTTGATAATGAGGAGTTTGACTGCCGGACTCCCAGGGAGTGGATGGACATGGGTTTGGAGCCGGGGTCTCTGGGCCGGAGACCCGTTCCTGGAAAAGCACTCTTGCCCACCGATGACTTCCTGGGGCATGGTGAGCAGGGCCAGCCTGGGGCGGGGGCACCATCTCATCCCAGCTACAGCCCTGCCATGACTCCGGGACTCCCTGGGACCTGGTAGCCTTGAGAGGAAAGGAGCTTCTGAGGCCTTCCAGCTGAGACACAGGCCAAGCAGAAACAGGCCACACAGAGGCAGGAAATGCAAGGACCAGGGATGACTGTCAGGAGAGCCAGGGAAGGGACAGCTAGATGGTGTCTAGTCTTTAAAAAACAAACAAACAAACAAACAAAAAACACATTGCTTTGGGACCAGAAGATGGCATGATGGTTACATTGCTGGATTCCCACGTAGTCGACTGCAGTTTAAGTCCCAGATCCGATGGCTTAAAACTCATGGTGGTGCATGTGAGTACATACCGGAAATACCGAGCCTGGAAAAGGGATTGCGGCATGGCTACCCCTCTGGGGAGTGATTTCTTGCTTTCTTTCTCTCTGTCTCTGTCTCTCTCTAGCAAGCACATGTGCCCTATACAAAAGTTTCTCTTAAAAAATTATGTACAAGCTTGTTAACGGGCACAGGGTGCATTCCTGGAGGCCTTGCATCCCATCACCCAGAATCACATTGCTCCTCTTGGCTTTTACCTCTGCACGGACCACACGCTCACTCACACATACACGCGTGCCATCACACACCCTCAGTCACACTCACTGTCACACATGCCACCCCACACAGTCACACCCACACACAGTCACACCTGCTGTCACCCATTCAACGCCTCTTTCACACCCCTACCCACATGGACCGTTCAGTGCCATGTCTCAGCCTTGTCTCGTCTGTCCCAAGAGTGCCCCTGGTTTCTCTAACCCTCATCTCTAGCTTCCGGCTTCAGGACATTAATGGGGGGACACCAGCTGCCTCGCTGACCTGCAGGGCTGGGGGCTGTGCAAGTACCCCGGGAAGGTCTGGACAGTAAGTTTGGACAGTGGAGCTAGCCATCCCCTGTTCAGGGCTGGGGGCTGCTTTGCTCCTTGCCTGGTAGAGGGCCAGGATGACGAGGAGTAGGAGCAGGCCCAGGGGGTAGCTCCCAGGTGAGAGGCAGGACCATGAGAACAATGACTGGTTTTAAGACTGCACCACCTCCAGGGGGCCTGCGATGGGTCCACTGAGCAGGCCTTAAAATTATGTTTCATTTTAAAAGCATATTAATACTGGAATCAATTTCCCTGAACTAGACAAGAAGTCCAGAATGTTCCCTTCACTTTGGACTTAATTATAAACATAATTTAACTTGATTGTTCCCAGATCTCCCATTCCTGGTGATAAAGCCAGGAGGTTTGGGATTGCATTAACCTTAACTGCATGCATACTAGCCTTCTCCACTCCAATCCCCACCCCGTGCTTTGCTCGTGACCCTTCCTGTGGGCCGTGCCCTAGGGTGGGAGCACCAGGTGGAGGAGGAGCAGGCAGGGAGCATTTCTGCCAGAGACCTCTTGTTTCCCTCTGGGGGCTCCTGAGAACGTCTTTGCCTCTAAGCTGACCCAAGACAAGCTCAGCATTTTCATAAAGGAAACTTACTAGGGAGGGAAGGGACAGGCAAAACTGACCCAAAGCAGGGGAGGTGCAACGACACTGTCCTTTATACGCCCAGCTGGCATCTGCGGGTACAGGGCGTTTCCTCAGAATTCTAGCCCTTTCTTTCTCAACCCAGTCTGTAGGACCCATCGCGTTGTTTCAAGCCATGGTATGTTGAGGACTCCCATGCTGGGCACCATCTACATGCATCTTCCTCCTACAAAAGTTTACTGAATGTCTGCTATGTACAGTTTCCACTATAGGCTCAGGGTCACAGCCGGAACCAAGATGGGACAAAGCCACCCCTGCCCTTAGGGAGCTGACATGGCATGAGGAGGCTGACCACGAACCGGAAGATGATGCACATGTAGTATGATTTTTTTTTTTTTTGGAGAGGTTTTTGCTGTCAGTTGCATGTGCTCGACCGCAAGACAGAGAGGTTTTTGCTGTCAGTTGCATGTGCTCGCCAGAAAGACAGAGAAGACAGAGAGACAGAAAGCAAGAAATCACCCCCTCCCAAGGGGGATGGCCACACCACGATCCCTTTTCCATTCTCCTCTCAGGATCTTGGGCATGCACACACACACACACACACACACACACTCGCCCGGCGTGAGTTTAAGCCACCAGGTCCGGGACAAGAACCACAGTTGACCCCATGGGAGTCCAGCAACATGGACATTATGCCAACTGCTGGTCCCATATGTAGTATGATTTTAGGTGCTATGAGAGACACAAAAGGGTTAGAAGGACACAGGTTAGAGTTCCCAGGGCAGAGGCACTATTTTAGGCAAAAGGTGCTTCTCTAAGGAGAAGCCACTTGAGTGGACAACAAACTAGCCATGAGGTGACATGAGTGAAGACGTTGGTTGGTCCAAGGCAACGGGCACAGGCAGTGCAAAGGCCCTGAGGCAGGAGCAAGCTTGGAAGTCTCAGGAATAGCCAGGCATCCAGCGTGGCTGGAGAAGAACAAACGAGGGGGGATGGTGGCAGGAGGGGTGCCGGAGAAGTGGGCGAGAGCTCAGCCCAGAGCGGGTGGGAGGCCTGTCCTGACCAAATGGCTCCCAGGCCCACTTAGAGTCCCTTGTGAGGCAGCAACCTCTTACGTCCCGCCCTTCCTGTTCTGACTGGAGGGACCCAGGGGCTCAATAGCTATGAGCCAATGGGGAGGAGTGCAACCTGGAAGGGTCCATTTCGCCCACAAAAACTTTCACAGCTGGCCGCAACAGGCCTTAGTTTGCTGGGGGCTTTCGTGCCTTCTACCGTATCCGGCCCAGTTGGTCCATGTCGCTCTGTGCCCGGTGAGGGTCGTGTAGAGCACCGGGGCAGAGAAGCCTGGTCCTCTGCCTTCTCCTGTGGCCAGAAGTTCCTCAGGGACCAGCTTCGCTGAGAGGAAGCAGGGCCCTGGCCTTGTTGGAGCCAGAGAGGGTGAGGGTCATCCTGGTGGGACAGAGACCAGACTAGTGACCTCCGAGATGCATTCCCAGGACTCAGCAGCCCTCACTGACCTGCGGCAGGGAGCACTGGTGGAGTTTCCCCTCCTGTTTCAGAGGACCCCAAGAGTCCGAAGCTCAACTACAAGTGGTGCGAGGTGGGCGTCCTGGACTACGATGAGCAGAAGAAGCTGTACCTAGTGCAAAAAACTGACGCCAAAGGCTTGGTGCGGGATGACGAGGGGAGGCCCATCCTGAATGGAGGGGTCACCGCTGAAGGTACAAGCTCTCTGCCTCTGCCCAGGTGGACCTCCGGCTCAGGCCTGGCCTGACTTGGGACTGAGGCTAACCCCCAGCCAGGGCATCACCAGCTCAGATCTGACTTCTACCCCGCCTTGTTTGTCCTGTGGCTGCCCGTCCCTGTAACAAGTAAGAACCAGAGGATCCATCACTTAGAGACCCCAGGAAGGGCTGATGGCCGTGGTTTGGGGTGTGGTCTCTGAGCAACTGGCACGGTGTTGAAAGGAGCTCGAGGTCCTTAGTCATGTCTTCCCTGGGTGTAGCCTTGACGAATGGGCCTTTGAAGAGCCACACCTGTATAACTTGCTGTCTGAGCCCCGCTCCAGAAAGTTTACAAAACACTTTGACATCCACCCATGACACCCTGTGAGGTAGATGAGACAGAGTTGTCATATGCATTTCACAGAGGCCACAGGGGGTCAGAGAAGGAAGATGACTTGGTCAAGGCCACTGTGCATCGTCGTACAGCCAGCTGGAGTCCAAGGGCCTGACTGTATGTTCCCTTTCCCCTGCCTGGTCTACAGGGAGACCGCCCCTTCTGATCACTCAGTACTGGGTGCCACGGATCCAGCTTCTCTTCTGTGCTGAAGACCCTCGCGTGTTCACGCAGCGCGTGGTCCAGGCCAATGCCCTGCGCAAGAACACGGAAGCCCTGCTGCTGTACAACCTGTACGTGGACTGCATGCCCTGCGAGGGCCAGCGGCTCATCAACGAGCAGAGCCTGAGCAAGATCAAGCAGTGGGCCATGAGCACGCCCCGGATGCGCAAAGGGCCCACGTGAGTCCCACCCAGCTCCTCCTCCTCCAGGGAGCCTTTCCTTGGGGGAACAGTGCTTCTGGGTTAGAGTTTCCTGGAGGCTCATCTGTGCGGGGCTGTTTTGCCCACGGCACTGTGCTCTTGCTGGTCGTCCTGTAATTTCCTTTCATCTCCAGATCTCCAATGACCAACATGGATTCTTGGATTATTTTTTATTCAAAGGATTTATAATGTGTTACTACCTCTGTTTATTTTGATGCTTAGTTTTTCCAGACTTGGCCAGTGGAGCCTCTTCAAGCTAATCCTGTGTCCTTTTCACAACTTCCCATCATTCTTCAGGCATGTCCTTACTTTCTGGCCCAGCAAGAACGTCTAGGTTCATCTTGTGCTTTCCTAGATCTAGCCCTGAAATCATCTATTTCTCTGAGGAGCCCTGCTTCCTCTTAGTGGGAAATGGTCTTTATAAGTTGAGATCTGGGCCTTAGATGTGCTCATTGCTACTGGGAAACCATTGCTCTGAGGCTCCTGGAGCAGACTGATCTAGCAAACACACATTTATATTATTGCATTGTATTATATAGAACCTCCACACACATTTACGTCTACTTCTATATCTACCTACTGACCTAGCTGTTAAAAGCTATTAGTTTACCAATACCTTCAAGTTACCATTAACACACCAGGGCTCATTCTCAGGTTTTTGCCTTTTCCAGAAGAAAACTGACTCCCATTATTCACTGTATATTGATTTATTTGCTCAGCTTTAGAATACAGAAAGCAGTAGTAGTTCTGCTAATCCATACTCTTTAGAGGAAAAACTCTAAGTAGACTTTTAAAAATATTTTTGTTTTGGGACCAGTTGATGGTGTAATGGTTACGTCACTGGACTCCCCATAGTTGACTGCAGTTTGAGTCCCGGACTTGGCAGGTTAAAACTCATGCCAGGTATGTGTGCATGCCCAAAATCCCGAGAGGAAAATGGAGGAAAAGGGATTGCAGTGTGGCCCTTCCCCCCTGGGGGGGGGGGAGGTGATTTCTTGCTTTCTGTCTCTTTGTCTCTCCAGCGAGCGTACATGCCCTATAACAAAAAATCTCCCTTCAAAACCAAACAAAACAAAACAAAACTGTGTTTAGTGTCCTTTTTAACTTTTGCCTGGTGGCATATAGTCCAAAAACTACATTCTAAAGTTTCTTCAGTAGTTCTTTCCACTTCCTTCTATGGGGAATGTTCTTTATTTTATGAAATACAGCTTTGTTCATTTGTTTCATAGATAATATACGTATGAAGTACATGAAACAGATATATATACATGTTATGTGTATTAATATATATTCTCTCCCTATACACATACATACACATGCATACTACTCAAAATACATATTACTCCAAAAGATACCCTCAGACATCTGTGGGTCTCCATCCCCATTTATGCATTCTGTCCTGTCCACCTCCCCACCTTTCCACCTTGTTCCCACCACAGGCCCACAGGTAGCCAGTATCACTAGTTTCTGGGTTTTCCTTTCTGTATTTTTCATTGGACAAATGAACAGACCCACGTATATTTTAGACATGTGTGTTTTCTCATGCCCCCTTCCTTTTTACGTAGAGTGCTATAGATATTCAATTGCACTTTGTATTTTTCACTTGGATCCTGGAAACCAGTCCCTATCAGTTCACTAGGAGTTCCTTCATTCCTTTTGATAACTGTATAGTAATCCTTTGTGTGGGTATGCCATGGTTTATTCACTCATTCTCCAATATATGGGTGTTTCCAGTATTTATTTATTTATTTTAGATTTTTGCCTTAGGGTATGTGTGCTCATTGGAGACAGACAGGCCATGCCACTAGGGGTGGGGGGCATGGCCATGACTCAGGCTCTTCTTGGTGCTCCTCTCAAGATTTTGGGCATGCACACATCAGTGCCCTGTGTGATTTTCAAGCCACCAGGTCCTGAACTGGAACTGCGGTTGGCCATGTGAGAGTCCAGCACCTTAACCACCACACTACCTACTGGCCCCCATAGTGAATAATCTTGTATATTTGTATGTTCATATTGATGGAGGTGCAGCTTTTGGGTGAATTTCTAGAAATGAATTGCTAGGTCAAAAGATAAGGGCATGTGTAGATTTGACAGGTATCACCAGATTTCCCTCAGAAGGGTTGTATCATTTCGCCAGTGTCTGTTTCCTCTTAGCCTTATCAAGAACATGTTACGAACTGTTTAAAGTTTTGATAGTCTGGAAGACAAATAAGAAATTTCTGGAAAGTAAGTAAGAAATGTCAGTCCAGCACCAGCAGGTGGCATGGTGGTTAAGGGCATGGACTCCCATATGGCTGACCATGGTTCGAGTCCTGGACCTGGCAGCTTGCTTTCTCACTTTTCCTCTCTTTCTCTCTCTCTCTGTCCCTCTCTGGTCAAATTTAAATAAATAAAGTTAAATAAGATAATTCTTTGAAGAAAAGAAAAAGAAATGACATCTCAGTGTAGTTTGATTTGATCTTATCTGTGAGGTTGAATATCTTGTTTTCCATCTTTTCATGTAGATTAAGGGTGACTTTAACATCTTTTTGTGACTTGTCTATCTATGTCTTTTGCCCATTTTTTCTTTCTCAGAGTTTGGGCTTTTTGTTCCCTTTCATTTAAAGAGTTCTTTATGTGTTAGAGATAGTGACTTTTTTTGGGTGTGTGGGGGGGTTCTGTGTTGCTTTATTTTTTTTAAATGCCAGAGGGCACATGCATGAGAGAAAGAGAAAAAGCACCTTTCCATCCTTCATGAAACCTAGTCACGCCATAGCCCTTGTTTCCCCTCCATTTCTCTATCCTGTCATGATCCTGGGCATGTGCCTAAGGTGTTTCCACTCAGGCCGAGATTCGAACCTCACTCACTCAGCTCTGTGGGACTTGGCTACCTCTACACAATGCTTGCCCATTTTGCTATGGGGCCAGTCCAGGGTATTGGCTCTTTATATATGCTATGTCATAAATATCTCCTCCTAGCATGTCAGTTGTATTCTTAGTTGTTTATAGCAATTCTGTAATATAATACAAATGTTTATGTAGGTAATGTTATTAATCTTCTGTTGCATCTGGACTTCAAGTCATTAGAAAGTCACTATATTGAGGTTTTTCTCCTAGTACTTATGTGGTTCCATTTCTTGCATTTGCATCCTTGGTTCACCCTTATGTATGGTGTGTGGTATAGATCTAATTTTATCTTTTTTCCAACTGACTAATCAGTTGTCCCAGCAGCTTTTATTAGAACTTCCACCCTGTGATTTGAGATGCCATCTTTATCATACACTAATTTACATATGTTCTTAGGTCTATTTCTGGACTTTCTATTCTATTTCTGTGGCCTATTTGTCTATTCAAGTACTATACTGGTTTAATTATAGATGTTTTATAGTAGGCTTTTTAAAAAAATGATAATGCATGTACACAACATGAGAGAGAAAAAAGGAAGAGAAGCACCCTTGACATGCTCTCATCATACTGCAGTTCCTCTCCCCCAACTCCTTAGGGTCCTGGATGCCAGAGCACACGCCAACCAGCAAATGCCAACCCACATTGCCATATGGTTTTCAGCCCTGCAGGGCACATGTACACCACAGTGGCCGAACCTCTAGTATGTTTTAATGTTCCCCAGGGTTGTCCCCTTGTAACTTTCCCCTTTATGTTCTCCTGGCTATCCTTGCATGTAGACTTTTTAAAAATTATATATTTTAAAAATTGTGATAAATGGAGCCAGTGGGTGGCATGGTGGTTAAAGCGCTGGACTCCCACAGCTTGAACTGCAGTTCAAGTCCCAGGCCTGGAAGCTTGCTTTCTCAATTCCACCCCCACCATGAATGTGTTTTCCCTATAGCAAAGGAAAAGATAATAATAATGATACATACAATTAAATAAATAATTCTTTAAACAAAATTGTGGTAAAATCTATATAACATGAAACTTACCATTTTAACCATTTTTAGGTGTATAGTTCAGTGGTATTAAGTACATTTACTTTATTATGTGATCATTACTACCATTCATCCTCAGAATTCTGTTAATCTTATGAAACAAACTCTGTACCCACTAAACAGTAATTTCCTGTTCACTCTTAACTCCCAGCCCCTGGCTCCATGAATTCAACTAAGTATCTTATATATGTGGAATCATACAACATTTGTACTTTTGTGACTGGCTCACTTCACTTAGTATAATGTCCTCGTGTTCAATCATGGAGCATTTATTAGAAGTCCCTTCCTTTTAAAGGCTGAATAATAATACTCACACTTTATTCATTCATTCGTCCATGGATACTTGGGTTGATTTAATCTTGTGGCAAGTGTGACTAATGCCGCTCTGTATATGGATGTACAGTATCTCATCAAGTCTCTGCTTTTTGTTCTTTTGGGTATATCACCAGAAGTGGAATTGCTGGATCATATGATAATTCTATGCTTAATTATTTGAGGAACCATCATCCTGTTTTCCACAGCCTGTACCATTTTATATTCCTGCCACTAGCAGGGAACAGGAGTTCTGATTTCTTCACATCCTCACCAATATTTGTTACCTTCTGTCTTTTTTCTCCTCCTCCTCCTCCAAGAAAGAGACAGCATCCCTGAAAGGGTCCCAGTACTGCAATTCACTTCTAGTCTCAGCCAGCCCCAAATCATGGGCACATACATGCTTGGCATCCTCAGTGAGGTCTCCAGACATAAACTCAGGACTTCCTGTGTGGGCCAGCCTCCCAGAGCAGTCACATTCTCCCTCTGTCACCATTCGCCCCCATTATTTACTTTTTTATAATAGCCATCCTGATGGGTGATATCTCATTGGGGTTTTGATTTGCATTTCCCTAATGATTAATGATGTTGAACATCTATTCCAGTGTCTACTGGCCATTTATATATTTTCTTTGGAGAAATGTCTATTTAATTCCTTGGTTCATTTTAAATTTTTGTTGTTGCTGTTGCATTTGAAGAGTTCTCTAAGTATTCTGGATATTATCTCATATTAGATTATGTAAT